ACAAAGTCACACATGTCCTGAGTTTTGCTTGTCAGCAGCTTGATGTGAAGTTTCCCAGAAAACCTTGCACCTATCTCCTTGAAAATTGACAGGCTTTGTGGCCTCATTAGGGCCTACCCTCCCTGCTGTTTTCATTCAAATTAGGAAAAACAAAGTTCTGGTATTTTCATGATTCCCCATTATAGCCTATGGGTGAAACATCAAAATGCTTTGAAACAGCGTCGAAACAGTGAGCCAGTTTTGACTAAATGACACAGAACAGTGCTTTGAAACAGTGAAACAAAACACTGTTTCACCATTTTGAAACACCATTTCAAAATGGCAAAACGGAAGTCGAAACATAATAGTGCTGTTTTGCACAGCCCTAGGAGAGAGGGGAGGGCAAAAACTGCAGAGGCGAAGAAGAGTGGGGAGGGCATGAGGTTCAGGACCACAGCCAGAGCCACAGCAGCCTCCTACACCTTGCTCCACTAGGTCTGTAAATGTAAAACAAGGGCATTTTTCCTGTGCTGACTGGGTGGAGTGAAATACCTCATCTTATACTTAAGTAAGTATGGTAAACTTGAAAATGTAGTTATTTTTCAACACTTATTCTCCACTTCATGTCCATTTCAAGTCTCTGAGGAGAAACAGTCACTCAGTTGATGGTATTCCTTTGACAACTTAGTGCAGAGTGTCGTAAAATTAATCCTTCTCCTCAGGGGTGGAGTTGAGTGTTGGTACATCATCGCTGATGATGTTCGCAAAGCCAAAACCAACTGTGCATTATCAATTCATATTTTTCTGGAAAAGATTGCTACAAAGTGTCATGGTGACATCCATGATCAGGCCACTGGCACCAACTAGATCTTGTTATTGTCAGGAAGAAAGATATACTTTCAGAGCAGAAGACTTACATGTTTCACAGTGCTGATTGTGATACTGACCACTCCCTGATCATTACCAAAGTGAAAGATACAGCCAAGAAACTACATGAAGCAACACCTAGAAGCAAGTCCTAAATCAATACCACTAACACCAAGGTACTAGAGGAAGTGCCATGAGTTTCTGAAGGTTTTCAAACTCAGCATGTTTGGGAAGTCACTACCAAGGAAGGCAGAGGAAATCTGGGAAGGTTTAGAAACTGCAGTCCATGAAACAGCTAAAGTTATATTTGTGGGGGGAAAGAGACCATCCAATAAGGACTGGTTTAAAGAAAATGCTAAAGAACTATTACCTCTCATCAACATCAAGAACACAGCCTATCTGAAACACAACAAGAAGCAAACAGAGAGCACCAAAGCAAGACTTTGACAAGCAAAAAACAAAGTACAGAGAGCAACCACATGCTGCACAAATCAGTACTGGTCTAAGCTCTGTGAGGAGATACAGACAGCCTCAGACACCGGAAATGTTAAATCCATTTTTGATGGTCTGAAGAAAGCTCTTGGCCCTACTGTCAACAGGTTTGCCCATCTTAAGTTGCACAGCAGCAAACACATTACAGATAGAAGTAAGCAGATGCCTCATTGGGCTGAATACTACTCAGAGCTTTACTTACAAGAAAGAAACATCAACAGTGAATCACTGGATTAAATACCAATTCTATAGGTCATACCAGAGTTAGATGTAGAACCCACTGTAGAAGAGTTAATTAAGGCCATTGATTCATTATCAAGTGGCAAGGCTCCTGGAAAAGATGGCATCCCAGTGGAAATTCTCAAGTGCAGGAAAGAAAGCTTGACACCATATCTTCACCAGCTGCTACTCAAATGCTGGAAAAAGTGTGAGGTATCACAAGACATGCATGATGCAAACATCATCACTCTGTATAAAAATAAAGGAGATAAGGGTGACTGCAACAACTAAAGAGGTATCTCACTACTAAGGGTAGTAGGAAAAGTTTTCGCAGGGGTCAACTTGGTAAGCCTACAACAGCTGGTGAGTCATGTCTACCCTGAATCTCAATGTGGATTCAGGGCTAGAAGATCAACCATAAGCATGATATTTGCCCTGTAGCAACTTCAAGAAAAGGGCAGAGAGCAAAACCAACTGCTGTACATCCCTTTGGGGATCTAACCAAAGCATATGACACCATCAGCAGAACAGGCCTATTTGCAGTCCTAGAAAAGATAGGGTATCCACCAATTGTTAAGGCTTATACACTCCTTCCACAACAACATGAAAACAACTGTTCAGTTTGATAGGTCTGCTTTGAACAGCTTCGTGATGAAAAGCAGAGTGAAGCAAGGATGTATTCTGGCCCCTACACTCTTTAGAATCTTCTTCTCAGTACTTCTGAATTGTGTGTTTAAAGACAAGGAAGGTGGAGCGTACCGTCACACAAGATCAGATGGGAAACTCTTCAACCTGTCACAAGTTAAGGCAAAAACTAAAGTTACAAAGGTACTTATCAGGGAGCATCTATTCACTGATGATGCTGCCCTTATAGCCCACGGTGAAAACCTACTACAAGAACTCATGAATTGCCTCTTAAGAGCTAGCCAAGCATTTTCTCTCATTATCAACATAAAGAAAACAGTTGTACTAGGACAGGGAGTTCTACAGGACCCATTAATCACTCTTAATAAGAACCAGCCAAAAGTAGTCCAAAAGTTCAACTACATAGGTTCCACAGTGGCCACCAACCTCTCACTGTTCCTCACTGGAGGAACTTCATGTTTGCATCAGAAAGGCTGCCGCTACCTTCATCAGATTAACTAAAAGAGCATGAAACAACTCAAAGCTTACCATCAACACCAAAATGCTAGTGTAGAAAGCTTGCATACTCAGCACTCTCATGTATGGTGGGGAAATATGGACAACATATATACATCAAAAGAAAAGGTTAAACAGCTTCCACCTGTGCTGTATACACTGCATACTCAACATCAAATGGCAAGGTATAGTTACCAATGCAGATGTTCTTCAAAGGGAAAATTTACCAAGTGTGACAAACCAACTCAAACAGAGAGGACTGTGCTGGGTAGGCCATCTAAGCAGATTGGAAGATGGACATATACCCAAGGACATGCTATATGGGGAACTATTGGAGGGAACAAAAACAACAGGATGTCCCAAGTTTCACTACAAAGACACATGCAAGCAAGACATGAAGGCATTTGGAACTGATCCTGACCAATGGGAAATCTTGGCAAGCGATGGGAACAAGTGGCAACATTATCTCCACCAGGGCATCAAAGTCCATGACAGCAATTGGCTCCAACATCTGGAATTGAAAAGAGTCCGTAGGAAGCAAGCAGCTCCTGAACCACCCAGTCATGACACACGCACTTGCAACCACTGCCATAGATCATGCAAATCTCAGATTGGACTATTCATTCACATGAAACACTGCAAACCATCTGCGTCATAGGCTGCAATATCCACAGTTTCTCGCAGACAAAAGGATGCCAATAAAAAATTAGTTAATATATTGTAGTTATTAGTGAACAAATTAACATTATAAAAATGCTTCATATATTTTTGTGCCTAATGAAGCTAACAAGACAATATTCATTTACAGAGACATAATACAAATATACTAATCAATAGTGTTTATTTTTAGCTTTGTCAAAAGAAGGTACTGAAGTCAATTTTATTTTCAAATTCAGATTTGGTCTCTTTCTGAATGCAGAGGAAATACTTCCCAAGATGTAAGCAAAGGGTACATGCTACATGACATGATAACATCATAATGTTTCACATCACATAATACCATCATCATCTGTGTTACAATTATTTGAACGGCACCTGAATGAAACCTCAGAGAGTAGTGTAACGGGAGTGGGAGGGAGGGGTCAGGGTATCAGAGGCAGCATCTTCATGCAGGGGTGCAGAACCAGCTGTGACCACAGTGGTGGCTAATAGCACTGCTACAATTCACACCGCTCCTGGTGTGGTGTGGCTGTGCTGAGCATAGAGGTGCCTGGCTATGCCTCTGACTTCAGATAGCATTTGGAGCTGAAAAGCTGCAAAAAAAAATGGATTTAGAATTATAATTTAACGTGTAGTGGTTCACTTTCCTCTAAAAATAAACCTTTTTGCCATAGAAGTCTATGCACCCTTCATGTTCTTTTACCGGGGATTCCCCAGTGACCAGTGAATTAAAAACCTTTATCTCTAAAACATCTCCTGCATCTAGTTCCCTTAGCTAGCAGCTTTTCTCATGGAACATGAAACATATTTAAAAAAATGACCTTAGAGGCCCAGGCCTAGGCCTTTTCCATATAATCTAAGATAATATTCTAGATTTCTCTCCAAAGAGACATTGTCTGTGACACCAGCACGCACTGCACCATAGAATCCCACTATCAGTCACTAGAAGACAATTTACCCACCACGTTGCACCTCATGGTTAAATTAATGATTGCTTCTCTGAGTCACCATATACTTAGTTATCCTGATTAATAATTTTCCATCGAAATACTTTTTTACATGGAACATACAGTTTGTTCCACAGGAAAATTATGATTTTGCCATTTTTTCTGTGTTGTTGTTTCTACTAAGTAATCAGGGACCTGAAATTTTAGTCCAAACTTTTATATATTGATTTATACAGATATGGATATATAGAGATATAGAGATATTTCTTTAGATATATATCTTTAGATATATATCTATATATATAGATTATATATAAATAGACAGCACTGTTTTGTTTCAACTTCCATTTATCCGTTTTGATGGGAGATTGTTTTGTTTTGTCGTATTGTTTCGTTTCGAAGCACTGTTCTGGTTCATTTTTCCAAAACTGTTTTGCTGTTTCAACGTTTTGCCATAGGCTATAATGGTGAATCATGAAAATCCCTATAACTTTGTCATTTCTTGTCTGATTTGGATGAAAATTCCATATATGACATCCCCTTCTACAGGCATGAAGCCTGCCACGTTGCCAGGAAATAGATGCAGGGGTTTCTGGGAAACTGTACCTCAAATTGCTGACAAGCAAAACTTGCGTCCCTTGTTGACAGCGGCAGCCTCTTGTCATGTTGCATGCAGATCTGGGGGCCTGCACACCTGGGAGGGCTGTGGGGCTGTGCTGGACTCCTCCCAGAGGTGTGGGCCCCCAGATCTGCACTCAGGATGACAGGAGGCTGCCACTGCCTTCTGGGACTGTCACTGGAAGCCCCAAAAAGGGTCAAGTGAAAACTAACCCACCTATAATTTTTCTTGGGTGGTATTCAGTAATTTTGGAAGGTTTAGAATAGATAGGACTGGTCATTCTCGAGTTATAAATGAATATACATACATACAGACATGCACTTTATTATAGATATATATAAATATGAAACTTGGAGTGCAGGACTTTATTGCACTCTATACATTAAACCTAGCTTAGGACTCAGCCAGCTATACAGTGATGCTTTCTCCAGACTTTGTATTGAGGCTTGAGTTGAGGAAAGTACTTTCAGGGAACTTTCACAAAACCCACTCAATCAACTCCTGTGTAACATCTTTTTGATTAAACACCAAATTAACCAGGGTTTCGTGTTACTACAAATAGTGACTCCCACTTCAGGTTGAAAAATTAACAAGATAGATAATCACAGATGAACAAACTTCAATTGCCATGGGGCTGAATAGAAGTGCACTAAAGCCAGTTCCTTTGTTTTCTTTTTATTAAATTAATCTTCAGTTCACACTCATCCCAATGAGTACCTTGCATGACCATATTGTTTACAGTTGAACAGTCACTGTTTAAGTTCCTCTTTCTTTGTTTTCTGGTGTTTTCAGATTTGCTCACCCAATTCAATTGCTTTACCCGTCTTCCTAGTATCAGATCAGCAGACTGGTAATGCTGCAGGCTGAGACAAGGAGATTTACTACCTCATACACATGAGTGGAATCCTCATTCCTCTGAAATAACCACTTGCAATGTTATAGCCTGTCACCATAGAAAGCTTGTTATGCTTGATGTAAAAAGCCTCAGGAGATGCTTCAAAATTAAAGACACTGGCAATGCAACTAGTGGCAATCTCCCCCCTCCCCCCGACCAAGAATTGTGCAAGGTGGATTTTCCTCTCATTTAAGGCTAAAAACATTCCTGAAAGGAACAGTTTGTCCTCAAGCTGGCATAATGTTGTACTAAACATTTGCCACTTGCTGTTCTTGCAAGCTGTTAAGCTTCCTGTGAAAGCAGTAAAATATCATAGAGCATTCTTTTGTAAACAGAGTCCTTCATCATCTTATTCAAGCACTGTGTCAACACTTATCTGGGAACAAACCAGAGGGAAATTGCATCAGTATGTGGGCTGCAAATGGGGTAAGGGGAACTCATATCTTAAATACACACAACATTCAACCATGAGGCCTTTTTACAAGGAACAGTGTTTTATAAAATAAGAAATTTCTAGCTAGTGGTAAGGACTGACACATTAAACATAGGAATGACAGGCAGAAAAACATGAGCGTTATAAAGTAGCTGTAATGTGGAAAATAAAACAAATGGGAGAGGAAGGAGTAAGATGAATCTTTAAATAGGGTACAGAAATGGGAAAAAATAATACAGGCAACCCCCACTTAGCACTCTTAATTGGTTCCTGAAAAAATGAGTGTTAAGCAAAACAAGCATGAAGAGAAACTGAAAGTATTTGATGACCCACGGTGGCAACCACAAGTGTTTTTAATGACGCA